TGTGTGTGTGTGTGTGTGTGTGTGTGTGTGATATGGTTTTTGTCTATGGAGCCTGCTGTGACTTGGTGTTTCGTAACAGGATATCAGTTGTGCATCCCTGCATGAGTCATGCCAAGCTGACGTGGTTCTTGATTGTGAGAGACAGCTCAGACGGTGACGTGGAGAATTGATTCATTGGGCTTGTTCCAGTCTCTCCTGGCGAGCACGCCTAATTGAAAATTAAATTATTCTTTACGTCAAACTAGTTTATCTGAAATCACAACTGTAAAAATAAGCCGAATTTAAAATCCTTCTCTTCACATGCAAAGTCCTGAGTGATCATATTTTAGAGCGTGTGTGCTTCGTGGAATGGGAGGCAGATTCTTCCGCTGTAAGGCACCTCTCCTCAGGAACCAGCTCCCAGTTTAAGTTCAGGAGACAAACACATCCTCTCTGCTTTTAAGACTCATAACTTTTTGATAAGACTTGTAGTTAAAGCAAGATTAGGTGATATTAGTGGTTTTGCTACAGGCTTACGCTACAGAGCACTAAACTCCCTCTTTTTTACTCACAATGCATTTCTATGCCACTACAGCTTGTCATGAACTTTTTCTGTCTCTTTTTTCTCCCATAGTTTTGCCGCATTTCTTGTTTGTCAGCTCTTCTTTTTTGTCTTTTCTTTAAAGATTCTCAGCTGAGAATCATTAAAGCAATGATTAGAACTTCCAGTCAATGAATTAATTAAAACAGATTAATGTGAATTTCAAAATCTTATCTGGTTTTCCTATTTTCAGTGACATCAGCTTCAATGCCATGAAATTAACTAGGCTTTTAATTCTTTTCTTTCACTCTTATTTGCCAGATTTTTCAAGTAACCTATATTTGACAACAGCTTAATAAAAATGGAAATTCTGTTTTTAGTGTGCCACAAAAATATTTTTACCGGCCCCCATATGGCGCCCTCTATAATAAAAAATTCTGGAGGCGCCCCTGCTTTTCTTTTCCTTCACACCCCCTCCCCCACCACCTACAAGTCACACCTAATGGCCACTACACAACCTAAAGCACTTTGAAACTACTGTTTGTTGTGAATTGGCATCATATTGATCTTCTCTGTTTATGCACAGCAGATTCTCAAATGTGACACGTGGTATTAACTTTTGCAAGGAAGACGAGCTGATGCTTCTTTTCCCTGCCCCGTTCTGACCACCACCATCAGTTCCTCAGTAGCAGCGCAGACTACAAAAACAAATCCTGGGCTGATCCAGAGGCAGTCATTCATGAAATGACTTGGATATTTTATTAAATTCACAACCAAATGCCAGGATAACTCAAAGGAAAATTAAATCACCACAAATCACTCTAATTTAATGTAGCTGATTGAATAATTATTGGATGAGCTCCAAAACTTTATACCTGATGACATCAGCTACTCAGGTTTTATTGTTGTTCTCTGCAGGAGTTTAACCCCGAGGAGTTTTACCATCTGCTGGAGGCAGCTGAGGACCACGCCAAGGAGGGTCATCTGATGAAAACAGATATCCCTCGTTACATCATTGGCCAGCTGGGGCTTACTCGAGACCCGATTGAAGGTGGGTAGAGGAACTTTAAACAATTAACAGGTTTAAACAGGACCTATTCTAGACATTTATGAATTTATAGTTTTATCCTTAGTTTTATCACAATTCCAAATTATTCTTATTTATATCATGCTGGGCCTTGCTGTAGCCACTCATATCATATGATGCCTGATACAAGACATTTTAGCTTGTCTCCAGTGAGGCCTGTCCCACAGTTTGGGAACCACTGCGTTAAGCCAGCTTTCTTGTGATTGGCTGCTTCTCATAAACAGAAGGTTTAAATAACAGATGGGTGGGACTTCTGGAGTAAATAAAGGAAAGCAAAACAAGTCTCCTTATTAGAAAATAAAATGACTACCAGATTTTTTTGATCAAACATGTGTTTGTCATCAGATATGGTTTACTTGGAAAGTTATGACAGCGAGGGACCAGTGACACCTGAAACAGATGACTCCACAGAGGTGAGATCCAAAATGTTCCCCAGTCTGGTCGTTTCTGCTGGCTGAACGTGGCTGAAAGGTTGTTGAAAATGTTTTCATCTGCTGATGACTTGGCAAACAGGCTGGTGTCCATTCAATTAGCTCATTTGCACTGAGGCTGTTGAACCCGGATCCACCCCTTCCTTGAATCACATGGCCTCCAAATTAGGATAAGCAGACAAAAAACTATAATAAAAAACAGGAAGGAGGACATAGGAAATGCCTGGAGCAGGTTCTGCTTATCTGTGCAGACAATATAAATGTTCATCAGCAAAGACTAATTTAACAGGTGACAAAAATGATATAGAACGTGCTTTCTATCCTCCCACTGGATCATATTTAATCTTTGCATTGTGATCTTTGATCCACAGGGTAAGATGAGAGCAATGAAACCACCAGGAGAAGCAGACTTCCAGACCATCAAGCTGATAAGTAACGGAGCATATGGGTGAGCAGAGCTTTTCTCCCTCACATATGTGCTTTTTTTCCCTTTACAAGCACACAGAGCCAGTGAAAATAAAATGGTCAAACTGCATGCCTCTCTGGCTGTGTCTGCATGTGAACCAGCGCTGTTTACCTGGTGCGGCATCTGGAGACACGGCAGCGATTTGCCATGAAGAAGATTAACAAGCAGAACCTGATACTGAGGAACCAAATCCAGCAGGCCTTCGTAGAAAGAGACATTCTCACCTTTGCAGAGAATCCCTTTGTCGTCTCCATGTTCTGCTCCTTTGAAACACGTCGGCACCTCTGCATGGTCATGGAGTACGTAGAAGGTGAGGACAGGTCTACATGTGCAAAACAAAAAGTAACCCAATCAGTGACAGTCGTTTTACAGTTTACAGTCTGTCTAGCTAATATTTTAGCAACATTTTACATTATAGTATTTAAAACTAGAAAATGCATTTTCTGAAGAAACTGCTGTGTGAATGCTGATAGCTGAATGTTTTGAGTTGAAATGAAATAATTGCTGAATGTTAAGTTAAAAGTGTTGAATGAGATGAAAAATGCAGAATTTGTCACCTGAAAGTGCAGAACGGTTGAAAACTGACGTTCACACAGAAGAAGAAGTTGAAAAGTAGCTGAACATGTTTAAAATATAAATTAGAAAAAGCTAAGTAATTACAAAAGAAAATTTAGAGTCAGAAAGCATCTGAATTAATATTAAAAGTTCATATTCTTTTAATCACTGAATGACTGAAATGCGATCCCTCTATTTGGATCCACACAGTTTAAAAAGTTTACATCTCTGAGCTTTGGAAGACACGCTGTTGGAAAGAGAACAACAATGGCTACATTTTGAGGGTAAAATGATAGCTGTAGAGCAAACGCTGTTGACACAGCAGCAGTTAAAACAGAAGTTTTTAAGATTAATCTTGGCAGAGTGACAGACAGAGCTCATTTAAGGATGCAGGTGTGAGCCTGGCTGCTATAGTGACTCCAGCCAGTGGCACCAGAACAGAAAAGTGACTCTCAAACAAATGCTTCCAAAGACAAAACTACAAGCTGTATTGACAGAATTCCTTCACCGTGAGCGGCAGCAATGTCGAGTCTACACAATTCTCAGTTTTCATGCCTGTGGAGTTTATTATATGGACGTGGTGACAGTGTAAAGACAGCCTGTACTTCTGACTTTTAGACAAATTTTGGGAGCCGACTCTACTCTTCTATGGAAGAGTTCGATGTAGGAGGCTGTGCATTGGTGACATTTATGAAAGAACCATAACATCTATTACAATAATAATAACACTGAATGAAAGAGGGCAACAATGGCTACGTTTTGAGGGTAAAATGATGGCTGTAGACCAAAAGATAGCGTACAAAAAACATACGGAAGATGAAAAGTAGAAGAACAATACTGTGGATGCTTAATCAGCATCCACACTAATGATCGAGGCTATGGAGCACATATGTTTTCTAAGCCAGCGGTC